TCTTCTTAATGCACCCCAGGATCCCATTGGCCTTCTTGGCCACGAGGGCACACTGCTGCCTCATGGTTGTCATCCAAATACAATATACTGAAATGGATTACCAACTGCCATTCTTTGAAGAAAAAGGAAGATGAAGAGGGGTGCACAAAATGATTTCTCTACCTTCTTAAACCATGCAAATAAGCAAATATTTGTATTTTCCCAGAAGTAACTTCACAGAGTGATGAAATCTTAGCTTTGAGTATGAGCTGCACTACCACAGCTTGGGTGAGACCACTGGGACAACCTTAATTTAAATGCATTAGATCCACATGGTTTATTTTTCAGTTTAAAAGTTGTTTTGTGAGCCTTCATATGCCAGGTTTCTTACTTAGGGTATTTACCATGAAGCATGACTTAAGTCTAGAATATTCAGTAAAAACCTGCAGGTTTATCATCATGAAACATTAAAGTCAGCATGTCCAGGTATTTCTGACTAAAAACACTAGGGAAATAAACTAGTTTAAGTGTTCAAAGCTTCAGTGTTTATCCATGAAAAATCAGTGTGCATCACAGTTACCTGTGAGGTCTAGTGTGTCTCTCCTGTGTGCCTCCTGTGTGCCAAATCTTGCACACATTTTCACTTTCTATACTAAAACAGATCATCAGGTACAGAGCTGTCTCTACCTTATATTCTGCTGTGCTTGTGCAGCTTCTCACTCAGCGTTAGAAACATCATAGGTTTTTACTGTCATTTGAGCATGGAAATAAATTTTAATGCATAGAATACTTGAAGGAAAGAAATTCTACATGGCAAGACTCTCAAACGTGTCCTAGAACTAGGAGTTCTGTATTTACCCACATCTCATTTTATAAAAGTTTATAATAACTTAACTAAATTGTTCCGTATTCACCAAGGAACTCTTGTGTCCCTCTGACCCATATAGGGCAGGCAATATCCTGGTTAGTGATGTATATGTCTACACATCCGCATGAAATGAGAACATGGTTGTTCTGAAAGCTGCAAGAACGCACTAGCATTATGGCTTTGTCACAGCTGGGAATTACACATTTATGTAACTATTTATTAGGAAAAATAAGTTCAGTGCTATGCTATGCTACACATTGGTGTCAACTGTGAATAGTGTGTCTGAAATGGCATCTTTCTGTTTATTATTTATTGTCATTTACAATCCAGTAAGCTCCCAAAATAACTAACAAGTTTAAAAAGTGTGTTTTTACTGTTCTTTACCACCTCTGCCACAAATCTGATCCAAATAGATTATCTAATTTGCAAATAACAGTAAAAAGCAAGAATGAAAATAATGCATTTAATTTTTATTTAAGGCTCAAGATGTTACAAAGGCAGCTCTGCGTCTTATTCTGAGGTGAGGAAGACTACACATTATTCAGACAGACTATTGATCTTCCCACTTTGAAGGAGCACACTCGTTTATTTCATACTTAAGTTTGTGACCTAAGAATCAGGCTCATTTTTTATTTGAATATGCAAATGGATAATAGACAAAAATTATTAAGTAAAGGTCAAACTCTGGCCTTTTTTTGGAGGAGCTGATTGTTTCTAAATGTCATAAGTGCAAAGATCTCAACACTTCTTTTGATGTTGGTAGGAGCTAATGGATGATTGGCACCTTGGGAAGTTAAGCTGCTATTCAGGTAACTAAATATGAATTTGAGATAGCAATTTTTGACACCCTTCATGAAAATGTTACTTGGCCATGTTCTATATGTGAAATGCAACTCAGAGATCTTACAAATATGGCATAGGCTGATAGAATTTCACCAGCAATGCCAAAATCATACATGGTCAGACATTCTATAATCTGCAATCACTACTAAGACAATTTTAGGATATAGTAACAACAGAGCCAATGTTTGTAGCAACAAAATTTGTAGTAACAAAAAGAAGCTAGAGTATATGAAAGACATTATTAAAATAAGATTTCTGCATACAAGAATGGTCTTAGTCACTAGTAAACTTTTTTTAAGATAATATCTAAGAAATTTTATGAGTATTATTATTATTTGGTATTAAAATGTTACTTTATTGTAGCTTTTAAAAGATTGATTCCATGCAGTGAAATGTTCATTAGTGAGGGTTATTAAATGCTATATTAATGTACATCTAATTATATATGATCTTATTACGGCTTTACCTGACCCAGTAAAAGTGTCAAGTGATCCATCTCCAGTTGTTGTTGTTGTTTCACTGCTGTTCATGGGCTCTGTTTTGACTGCAAGAAGAGACACTACATAGAAGAATAAGTAGACATGAGATTTTACTTCTAAATTTACCCCGAAGTCCTCATGCCCATTTCACCAGTAGCAGTCCAGCTAGAACTAGCATGCGGGGTTACAGCTTAGACCTTCGTTCTGCTGTGTTACAGAGAATATAGCACAAGGACTTGGGCTGAAGCAGCTATTCATCTATCTCTTTTTGTATCTGTGCATTTGTCTATCTATCTGTTAGGTTTGGCAACTGCAATATCTTCTGGGGAGATTTCGATTTAAATCTACCTCATTCTAACAATTCCCTATGAATAACAGAGAGGAAGGAAACATCAGCTGTCAAGGTATGTAGCATGTAACTAAAATATTTTTGCCTGACAAGTGAAACAATAATATGGTTTCATTTTCCTACAGAACCAAAACACTTCCACAGGGCCAGCCTTCTCCCATTTCCCTTCCCTCATTTTCTGGTGTGTGTGTGTTGGGGAGATTGTTTTTTGGTTTTTTTGTTTGTTTGTTTGTTTGTTTTTTGTTTTTTTGTTTTGTGTGTGCTAGCTTATTGGCAAGATATTTTCCATAAGCTGAGAGAGAAGTAAAAAAGGAAAAGAGCAAGAAAACGAAAAAGGAACCTGTAATTATAGGACAGCATAGATGACAGACATGAATAAATCAGCTTCTAATTAAAAGTTCCCAAATTAAAAATTAAATGTTAACAAATATATATTAAATGTTACCAAAAGTTTGGTTCCACTATGAACTTAAAATATTTTTCATGAATCATCATGCACCCATATCACCCAAGCTTTAACTAAAACCATCATAGGGGCTGTATAAAATCTGTGTTTTATATCTAGTTTAACATGTTATCTCAAGAGACAATTTAGTGTGGACTTTTGTACTGGAATTTGGGAACCACTCTTCTAATTCGCATGGTAAGAAACAGTACAGAATACACCATGGCTTTTATTAGAAGTTTGATCGCCTTCTGTGGAAAACCCCAAGAGAGCATCGTAATTGCTTGGAGAAGGTCCACTCAGGTTACCACATGCATCGGTGACCGCTTACAGACTCATGGATCACTGCCTGGAGGGGCACGGATAAGGACCTGTGTGCCCCTTGACTAAAGTCACACAGCAGGTACTGCGGTATCAGGGACAGCCTGAGATTTTAAGAGAAACCTGCTGCGACTGCCAAGCTGGCAAGAGGCTCTTCTGGCAGAAGCAACATGTGGCAAGGCATTTTCTGCCAGCTAGTTAACCAATTCCTCCCACAGACATTGGCAAAACTGAGCTGATCTGTCTGCACCCATACTTGACCTTGGTGACAACAATAAAGGGTGGGAGAGGTTCGCCTCCCGAACTGACAACATATTTAGAAGTTATGGCCCAGATTCAACTTGCCAAAGGTTTTGCAACTCATTTAAGAATGTATATCAGATGCATAATAATTTCCCTCTATGTTCAGCAGACACACAGCAGAACTTCAGAGGGTGATTCAGTCCACGTGCAATTTGAGTTGTCCTCTTGAGCTGATGATCATCAGTCTTAAAATCTACAGCAGAGATGATGGTAGATAGGCTAAATTTAGGAATTGGTGTTCACATGGGGAAAATGGCCAGAAAGGGTCAGAAAAAATTCCTTGTGGTGTGAACACAAGAAGGAAGGGATCAGGAATTGTAAATTTCCAAAAACATGGTGGTTTCCCAGAACAGATGAATCCAATGTGAGTTAGGTATCCTAAAATAGCACATCTCATAGCCAAATTGCTGAACAGTTTTCACATCAGCAAGTCAAGTTGGAAGTTACAGATGCTTATCACTGTAGAAGTGACCTATGCTAAATAAAAAAAAGCCTGGCTGGGTAAAGTACGGACTAGTTGAGCACAGACAGGATTTATTGGTCTCTGTGATGTACAGGATGTCCTACAATGCTATCAGTGTCACAGTGCTAACAAAACTGAACAACTTCTTCTTATAAATTAGTTATGTTGCAGCTGTTATCTTTCCCTTTCTTGTGAGAGGTTAAAAATACCTGAATGCACGTGCTTTTTACACGCATGCTTCTTTTCATTACCCTTTCTCTTTAAAATTTGCATACTCATTGCTCTGGATGAACTCAGCAGCAGGATATTAAATGAAAATGAAATCATTATAGAAGAATTTTAGCCACATTTTTTTTCAAGCTGTTGTGCCCTCCTTATCCTTTTGAAGGCCTTCACTTACTGACTGTGAGGAAAAATGGTGACAAAAATCAAAGAAACTGAATAAATTTATTCGTAAGGGTAGGCTACTGTTACTATTTTCTATTTAGATGAGAAAAGCATGTTTTTACTTTCAGCAAGTCAGCAAGATATACATTCAGGAGAAGGCTTAGTGGTCATTCACCATGTAGTAACAATTACCTTCTCCAATTCTCAGGCCTTTCAGTCATATGGAACATGTATTTTTGCTTGAAGCACAAAAAGTACAAAATTAATTTTACCAATTGGCCATATTTTTTTATTTAGCACATCAAGAATGATAAATTTTATTATGCCAGGCAGTTTTATCTGCTCTGAAGATCTTTGATCAAATTTTACTTTATATGATATACAGCTCTTCCCTATGCTATTTTTTGGCATTAATCTACATGAAAATACCTACTTTTCAGGACCTTTAGCCAACCTCTATTCAAGGAGACATTCCATTACTGCCAGTGCTTGAGAGCCATGACCTTTGTTCTGTATTGCATCCAGAAAGATGCTTTCACATGTGCCTGTTTTCTTTAACTAAAGCTTCAGCAGG